AAATAAAAAAAGCCTGCTGAGATTCTGATAGGGATTGAGTTGAATCCACAGGTCAATTTCCAGAAGTAACATCTTTATAATATTGAGTTGTCTGTTTTACAAACATGGTAGGTATATGTCTTCATTCATTTAGTTTCTTAGCCATGTTTTGTAGTTTTCAGGGTACAGATCTTATTTTTAAAAAAAATTTATTCCTGAGGGGTGCCAGGGTGGCTCAGTCATTAAGCGTCTGCTTTTGGTCCTGGGATTGGGCCCTGCGTCGGGGTCCCTGCTCGGTGGGAAACCTGCTTCTCCCTCTCCCTCTGCTGCTCCCCCTGCTTGTGCTGTCAAATAAATATATAAAATCTTTTAAAAAAAAATTTATTCCTAAGGGGCACCTGGGTGGCTCAGTCGTTAAGCATCTGCCTTCAGCTCAGGTCATGATCTCAGGGTCCTGGGATCGAGCCCCGCATCGGGCTCCCTGCTCTGCAGGAAGCCTGCTTCTCCCTCTCCCACTCCCCCTGTTTGTGTTCCCTCTCTTGCTGTGTCTGTCAAATAAATAAATAAAAGCTTTAAAAAAAATAAAAAAAATTTATTCCTAAGTAATCTGACGTTTTGATGTTATTGTAAATGGTATTCCATAATTTTCATTTTCCAATTGTTCATTGGTAGTATAAAGAAAGAGAATTATTTTTTTTAAGTGACCTTGCATTTTGCAACCTTGATAAATTCACTAATTTGTTCTAGTAGGTTTTTTTTAAGATTTTATTTGTCAGAGAAAGAGAGAGAGCGCACAAGCAGGGGGAGGGGCAGAGGGAGAAGAAGGCTCCCCGCTGAGCAGGGAGCCCGACACGGGGCTCGATCCCAGTTGGGATCATGACCCAAGCCGAAGGTAGACACCCAACCGACTAAGGCATCCCTGGAGTAGCTTTTCTGTAGATTCTTCAGGACATTCTACATATAAGATCCTGTCATTTGTGAATAAATTCAATTTTACTTCTTCTCATAGGAGATGTTAAATCTTGGGGCTATAAATATAGCCACCCAGAGGGATTAGTGCCTTGTCTGGCTGGCACTGCATGGGGCTTTCTCCACAGGTCTAGGGTGCCAGAGACTGGGTTAGCATCTGATTCTCCCAACTGCTGATGTGTGACAGTGGTTACACGTCAATCCTTTCATGGAGGGACTCAATCTCAAACTGGCCTTGATACTGGAAGACAGGGGGTGCTCAGCATACTCCAAGTAGAGGGGGCGGAGCCTACAGAGCCCTTTTGTTCTCACTGATGTTTTTCTTATGTTTGCACTTGATCTCAGCCATGAATTAGCTGACCATTTGGTTGTCAAGGTATTCTTCACTCAAGGTGTCCTCAGTTGTAGACTCGATGCCAATAATTCCATCTTGTATAGGGAGGAGAGACACAAAAATGGCCACCTTCCAGGTAAAAGATCAGATTATTTCTTTGGCATCAACCTTCTTGCCCAAGCCACGTGGCAGTGGCAGCTGGCTTACTGATGATTCAGAACACGAGACCAGTGATGCTTGCTGGTAGTTCCGGTGGTGGCACGAAGCAGGGAATCTTTAAAGTAACAGCACTGTGAGGATGATGGGGGTCAGAGTGCTTACTAAGTAGGTTTCTAAAATTTTCTCCACCTCTTTCAAAATCTGAAGTCTGTATTAGGCAGACTTCTAAGATGCCACCCAAAGGTCCTCGTCCACCCTGTCCCCTGGACTGTGGGCTGGGCCCAGTGACTTGTTTCTAACAAAGAGAACACAACAAAAGTGATAGGCTGTAATTGCTGTGATTAGGTTACAAGAGACTGTGAGTCCTGTCTTGGTAGTGCTCTGCCCCCTTCTCTTACCTGCTCAGGCTGATGAAACAAGCTGCCACATTGGGAGATGCTTGCTCCCCAGAGAAGACTATGGGGCAGGGAACTGAGGGAGGCCTCTGGTCAACAGCTTGTGAGGAACTGAGGCTTCAGCCCAACACCCTGAGATGAACTGAGTCTTGTCAACAACACATGGGTTAACTAGGAAGTTCACCTTCCCAGCTGATTCCTGAGATTACTGCAGCCTTGAGAGAGACTCGGAGGCCCTGGTTAAGCTGGACCCGGGTTCCTGACCCATAGACTGTAAGGCAGGGTTTGACACAGTGCTGTTTTAAGCCAGTCGGTTTTGGAACAATTTGTTTCACAGTAATAGCTAACTAATATAATCACAGGAGATCCCTCAACTCTGTAAAGCTTTTGGCATCCCTTTTAGAGCCTCTGGAACTTCAGCCCAATCCACAACCATGCAAATCCAATGCTTTTCGACCGGACACCTGGATTGTCAAATCGTGTCTAGTTAGACATTTAGTCTCTAAAACCATTTTGGAATCCACTGAAATTTGAATCTTATAGTATCACTGATCAATCTTTTCGTGTCAGCTAAAAGTGACATAGTTAAAGATGGGCCTCTTTCCCTGACTGCTGGCAATGACCTCTGCTCTCCTGTGCTGGAAGCCGCCCATACAGGCAGAGGTGGTGACAAGGTCAGTGACAACTGTGGTTGGGACCACATAGGTCAGTGACAACTAAGGTAACTTCGATATTGTTATTCAAGGGGAAATGTCGGGCCTGGAGAAAAGTTTGTAGATACCAGAGCTGCCATAGCATTCCATGAAGCATGGTGGGCTGCTGAAATCGTAAGTCCTTTTTTTTTTTTTTTTTAAGATTTTATTTATTTGTTTGAGAGAGAGGGCCTACGCGCACAAGCTGGGGGAAGGAGAGAGCCCGATGCGGGGCTTGATCCCACATCCCTGAGGTCATGACCTGAGCCAAAATCAAGAGCTGGATGCTCAACCAACTGAGCCTCCCAGGCGCACCGTAAGTCATTTATTTTTGATGGGGCATAGGATGAATGTGGGGAAGTGGTAGGAAATAAGACTGAAAAAGAGGAGAGAACATGAAGGTCCTTGTATATGAAGCAAAAACACTTGAACATAACACTTGAGGCAGTGACGGAAACTGGAGGTACTAACTTAGTGGGAGGGACTGAGAAAAGATAATCAGTAGATGTTAACATCAAGATAAATCAGATGCTGAAATTATCTGACAAGAATTTTAAAGCAGTCATCATAAAACTGCTTCAATAAGCATTATGAACATGCTTGAAACAAATGACCCAAAAAAACAACCAAAGTCCCAGCAAAGAGATAGAAAGCATAAGAAGAATCATAGGAAAATTTTAGAACTGAAAGATACAGTAAGCAAAATAAAAAACCCAATGATGGGCTCAGCAGCAGAATGAGGGTGATGAAGGAAAGAATCCGGGAACTCGATGAGAGATTGATGGAAATGATCCCATATGAACAACACAGAGGAAACAGACTAGAAAACAGGTGAACAGAGCCTCACATACGTGTGGGAGTGTAAGAAAGGACCTAACGTTCACATTATCCCATCAGAAACCCAGTAGCCTAGAACTAGATGCCACAGCATTTTTCGGGTGCTGGAAGAGAATGGTCACCCCAGAATCCTAGAGCTGGTGAAAATATCCTTTGGAAGGAAGGGGAAATCAAGAGAGTCTCAGAGAAAAGACAACTAGGAGAATCTGTTTCTACAGACTTATCCTAAAGGAATAACTAAAAAATGTTCTTAAAACAGGAAGGAATCAATAAAAGAAATCATGGAACATCATGAAGGAAAAAAGAATGACAGAAAGAATGAAAACATAGGTAAATACAATAGAATTTCCTTCTCCTGAGTTTTCTAAATTATATTTGATGGCTAAAGTAAAAATTGTAACAGCGATGGAGTTCTCGGTATCTGCAGAAAAACAGTTCAGACAATTATACTGTAAATGTTGGAGGGTAAAGGGATGTGAAGGATAGCAGATTTCTGTACTTGATTTAATCTGGTAAAATATCAAAACCAGTGGACTGTGATAAGCTATGTATGTATAATATAATATCTAGGGCAACCACTAAATATCTATGCAAAGAGTTATACTAAAAATATACAGATAGATAAATCAAAATGGAATTCCAAAAAATGTTTAAGTAACGCACAGGAGGGCAGGGTTTGACACAGGCGACAACTTAGATGGATGGCAAGGGCATTATGCTCAAGGAGAAAAGGTCAGTTTTAAAAGTTGCACACTGTATGATTGTATTTACAGAACATTTTCAAAATGACAAAATTACGGAGATGGAGAATAGATTACTCATACCAGGGGTTCGGGATGGTGGGGAGCGGAGGGGGTGTGACCAGAAAGGGGCAGGTCAAGGAGATCTTTGTGGTGACAGAACAGCTCTGCATTCGACCGCATGGTTACGTGGACCTCAACGTAATAAAAGGTCATAGAACTATGTGCACACATCGTACAACATCCATTTTGTTTCCTACCCTCCTTCCCCACGTGGTTTATCTCCATCATGACCACCTCCACCCACTTTCATCATTCTCTTGATACCTATGTCACTCTTCTCAATTTTGCTTCCATGCTTCTAAATGCTTGCGTGATGGTTCTCACTGGAGGGCTTCCGGCCACTTACTCGCAACGTATCTTAAATTTTGCTCCTCCACTCCCCTGGCCCCACCTGTCTGTGTTCTGCCATCTTCCTCCCTGTCAAACATCAGTCATCCCTGACTCTTCCCTGTCCCTGGTCTCCAATTGCTTGATTTGTCTTAGAGGATTCTTTCTTGAATTCATTTCTATTCTTGCTGCCATGATCACAGTCCTGGGGGTTCAAGTCTTGCTTGAGACTTGACAAGAGCTTGCTGAAGGAAGAGTAGGCCTCTAAACTCTCACTACTTTTACCTAGTCTGCAGAGCAAGTATCAGAATATTCTCTGATGCAATAAAGAAAAGTATTGAAAACTGCCTGTATCTAGGAGACGGGGAAGGGGAAATCCAGAGATCTGAATCAAAGTCAAACAAGATATTTCTCCAAAACCAGTTAAACACATTTACTCTTCCACACGGTCACACAAATTATAAGCAGAGATGTGTCTTTCCCAGTAGAAGTGCAAAATACATACCTTAACTCGACGAGTAATGCTAAGGAACTGACAAGTTTTATCATAAAGTTGTTCCAGGTTTTCTCTGTCCCAGTAGAAATCGGGAGCGATCAAGAAGTCTGAACTCAAGTTTATACGGTGTCTTAAAAAAAACCAAAAATTTTAACTTTTTTATCTTGAATTAAAAATCACAGTCCCTATTTTCTTTCTTTTTACAAAGTACTTTATGAAAACATTTGTTAATGCTGACCTTTGTAATACTTCTGAGAAATATATAAATAAAAAGATTTACATAAGAATTTCAAAATTTGCAACCAAATTAACTCAATCTTTAACGTTAATGTTATTTATGAAGTAGTTAGAAAAAAAAAACCCTCTCATTTTGCTTTCAATTTCTGAGCTTTTTTCTGTTTTCATTAACTTTTACAAGATACACACATTTTTTGATGGGTAGGTAATCATATGCCTTAAAAATAAAAAAGAGAGAAAAGGTAAACTGACAAATCTCACTCCTATTCTTCTTCCCATCTTTCACTTCCTCCCTCCCACGACACAGAACCACTGTTAGCTTACTCTCCATTCTCCCAGGGTTCGTGCAAACACTGGACAAGCACATACACACACATTCTTAATTTCTACCTTTTTAAGTAAGAGGCCTATGCTTTCTTTTAAATGAAAATTTAAGGCAAAGAAGTAACATATAAATAGTTGTTCACTATAACAAAGAAAGCCCTAGAGAAGAACTCAGAAAACAGTAGTTGGCCCTCTTACCCTAAAACACAACTCAAATCCTTTAGGCCCCGCGAACACTTTACTGTGTCCTTCCAGACCTGTTCCATGCATACGTTCATGTGTATGTGTGGTATGCATACAGAGCGAGAGAAAGAGGAATATTCATTTTTGTTTGTTTACACAAATTGGATCGTACCATACATAATTTGGACTTAATTTTTCACCCAATGTTGTAACTTGCCATGTACCTATTCATAGATTTACCATGTTCCTTTTAATAACACACAAGCACTTTTATGGTAAAGAGAAGAAAACTTAGGATAAGAACAGTAAGACTCTACAGAAACTGTTCACAAACCTACATATATTTAATCCCAACTTCTGAGTTTTGATAGGATTATCATCTGCCATATCAAATTCTGCTGGCATTACCAAGAGAAGAGGATAGAGGCTGTCTCCACCCCACTTCTTAGAGAGCTCAAGGCTTCAGATGAGCTGAGGAATGCATAGGTGAAGAAATCCTGGACCACTTCTCTCCAGGCCAATCCCTAAGGGGAAATGTGGAACAACTCTCAAACCCTTTACGGCGGATCCCTAGCAGCTCGTGCCATGTACTTGGAGGGACAAGACACTGAGCAATGCTGCATGGTGAGAAGCGTGCCAAGATTCAGGATGTTTCATCCCATAAATCCTGGGCAAATTGCACAAATGGAATAAACTGAACACCTTCTCAGAAACTTCCTTAAAATGATGCACTGATGTCCTTCGCCGGTCTTAAGACACCGTTCCTTCCCATCTCTGAGAACAGACAGCATCTTTAAAACGGATGAGGTCTTACAGGTCGGCTGGGACTTAGCTGTCATTGCCCTAACTTCCCTCTTGCTTTTCCTTTTCTGCCCTAGAGGGAATGTGACAGAATCCATACCCAATAAAGCTAAAGGAGTTATTTCAGTGCAGGAGGTTAATCCTGGGATAAAAAAGCACTGTCGCAGCATCTGTCCCAGCTCTGGCATCTCACGGCACGTTTCAAGAGTTGACACACAGTATATAACGTTTCCGTAGCACTTGCTTCTATTTAGCAATATCATGCAATAATATATATATATTATTTTAATATATATATCATTTAATTCCTATATATAATATATATTATTTTAATTCCAATGTAGTTTATAGTGTTATATTAGTTATACTAGGTGTACGATACGGAGCTTCATCAATTCGATACATTGCTCAGTGCTCGTCATGATAAGTGTACCCTTCTCCTATTTCTACAACCCGCCCCCCCAACATCTGCATCTGTTCTCTATAGTTAAGAGTCTGTTTTTTGGTTCGTCTCTTTTCCCTTTGTTCATTTGTTTTGTTTCTTAAATTCCACATACGAGTGAAATCATATGGTATTGGTCTTTCTCTGACTGGCTTATTTTGCTTAGCATTATATTCTCCAGATGCAATGAGATATTTTTACTGAGAATTCCCACTACCCAAATTCTAGAATATATCTTTCTACCCACAAAGAACATCTACTGGGCTTCTTTACGCAGATTTAATGTAGATTAATTGTGATGTCTGGGCGCACGCAGAATTTCTTGCAGTGCAGTCCTAGTACAGCCCAAGCGCCTCTAATGGGTAAGAGCCCCCCCCCGCCGGCTTAACATCTGTGAGGTGAAAGTGGGTGCACTTCCCATCAGGGCACACGCTCGCCTTTCACCATACACGTACAGGAATGTCTTCTTCAGACTGTTACACACATACATTAATTTTATTTACAGAGAAAATTCTACCTCAGGGCAAAGAGTTCACCCATTTTCTGCATAACTTCTTCATGAGATAGTTTCACTTTCTTCCCAGCTTTTAAAGCCTATTTGGGAGGGAAAAAAATACACACATACATACGTACGTCCATACAAACATATCTCCAACAAGTGACAGGAGCATAAAGCACATTCTAGAGCAGATGTAAATACATCTCTTGGTTGATGTCTCTCAGTCATTTCTCTTCGAAATTTCAACATCTTATTAGGTAGCAATTGTATATTCCCTTGTTCCATTTCCCTTCTCAATAGCATTTTCTAGGATCTACATTTCTAATCTCTTATTGAAAAAGCAGGGCCTCTCTTCCCAAGTATAACTCTGTCATTCTTTCACAGTAAAAACAAAATTACAGTAAACCTGAGTTTTGGTGTATTCTGATATAACTTAATATGTACTTTTCAAGCCACTGTCTCATAATTCAGCAAAACACTTTTCAATCAAGAAGACTGGTCATAATCCTCTTCCTTAGAGAGGAAATAGCTCACTTTTTAAAAAAGGATAGTTATGTTAAAAATATTACACCACCAGAAGAAAGTAATTAGAATTCTAAGTTTTCAAAAGTAAAAAAAATATATATCTAAAATTTTTAATTTTAGATATAATGAATGTTCCGTTTTTGCTTAAATTCAGTGTAGCTTTTCTAGCATTTATTACTACTTTATTGCACTCCTAAGTATATTGTTAGGGTGGGAAAACAGTATTTTTCCCAAAAAGAGATCAATCCTTGAAAACAAGCATAAAATTGGTATAATTACCTCTGGAATTGACTGAATAGACTCAACAAATTTATCCAGTGATGCCTCCCAAATAGCCAGTTTCACTGGGGGGAAAAATGAATAACAATGGAACATTTTATCATCATCATATTCATGTTTAGACAGAATGCATAATTAATTGCCCGGTACCTTCACCACCATTTCAACAAGAGTTTAAGAAGCAAATGTGCTAACAATGTGCAAGTGAAACTTAAGAACAGTTCATTATCATTATCAAGGATAGCACTAAAATGAAAAAGAGGGAGGAAACGGTAGATATCCAAGCCCTGCCGGCAGACCAAAGCACTATTTGGTAGAATTCCTGATTTTCTGATGCTGCATCTCAGAAACCCAGAGAGGATAAGGTACACCCTGACGGGAAGTGTGGCTCTGTGCACGGAGCAGGAACCAGGCCTTTCCCGCCGTCCCTCCTACTCCTTACTCTCCTCAGGGCTGTGTGTAAAGCTCACGAGTCCCCGAAGCCTCCTGGAGTGGCGCGGACGAGGCCACGTCAGCTGCAGCTGAGTGTAGGGGAGGGCCATACAATTCTTAGAGAACGTCTGCAGTTTTATTTAGTGCATGGATCTCTGACCCACTGCTGGGAGGAACCGGCGTGCGCTTCTCCCCAGAGGCCTGCACCCCGTCACACTGGGCTTTCTCTGCCTGGATTAGAGACAACCCGAGAGCCGCCACCACGCAGAAGAGGACAGGAAAACAAAGGGGATAACGATAGTACAAAAAATATTTTTGGAGAGGGTAAGTTTTATCCATACAGTTAATAAAGAATGAATAGCTTCAGCACAGACAACTCTACTTTATTCTCTGTTTTTTTCTCTGGGAAAGAAAAGAAATGTTAAGGCTTTGCTAAGTAATCTGTGAAAACATGCCTAAATCTTTACTGAATGCTTAAACTTCCCCGCTGAAATGAAAACTATGTAACACTTTTCTCTGATTAGTAGCATTAACTTACCTGAAAGGCAAAGAGCATTCGAGAAAGCAAATTTCTCTAGAATGGCGTCATCTATATCCAGCTCTGAATTTAATCTGATTTCCCCTCTGTGAAGTTTCGACTGTCCCCTGTGAAAAGGGAAAAAAAATTATCTTCTAAATCTTAAAAAGTTCTTTATTTTTTCTTTAAAAAATTTTTTTCTTTTGAAGTAGTCACCTTATACTCTTTCTAGAGGTCATTTTGGCAATTTGTACCAAGAATCTTATAAATGCTCTTATACCCTTTGATCTGAGTAATTCCACTTCTAGGAATTTATCCTAAGGCAATAATCAAAGACGCAAAGAAAGATCTGTGTAGGAAAACTTTTTTATGGTCAAATGTTTAACAGTAAAAAATCAGGAAAGAAACTAAATGTTCAATAGGAGAATGGTTCATTGATAGGAAATCCACACAGCCAAACTGAACAAGCATGTTTCGATGTTTCGTAGAAAGGAAAAATGACCACAACAAATTGCTAACGGATCAAATGCTGAATATAAAGCTATCTACACAGTGTCTAGATATCCAAAGTCACACTGACATGGTGGGAGCGGGGAGGGAGGTGGGGAAGCGGTCAAACAGTGAGGGGCACGTGTGAGGGCTTTGGGAGGACTGGGAGACAGGCAAAGGGTGGGAACTTGGGAACATAAATGTCAGGCAAATAGGAAACATACAGGGTAAACCGTCACAGAAGATGTGAGGCAAGAGATGGGCAAAGCTGTGGACCCAATGGGACGCAGGGAGGCAGAATGTGCTGACAACGCCAGGTGGAAGGAAAAAGAAAAGACAAGACAGAGCAGAGGTGACAGGATGCTTTAAGGAAGGAGCCGGGCTGACGCTACAGAGTCGCCTGAGGCAGCAAACAGCTGGGACCCCCGGCAGGACTCACGGAACAGCCACGGCGGTGGCGCCATGATGGGCTTTCTGGCGAAACCAAACATGGGCTCTGGGATCCAAAGAGACCCCAGTTGGGGACTTTACTCCTCCACAGACTATAAGATAACGAGCGTGCGTGAGTGCATGCGTGTCTGTGGGTGCCTCGGAACAGTCTGATCTGGAAACAGAGCACAGAAGGGAAGTTCATGGCAAGCGTAACCACAAGGCCAAGTGCTTAATAAGAAAATTAATAAAATTCTTTTTTTTTTTAATAGAGCAGAAATTCTCATAGTTTGGTTATAGGACCCATTTCTTTCTTTCCTTTTTTTTTTTTTTTTTAAGATTTTGTTTATTTATTTGACAGAGAGAGTTGGCAAGGGCAGGAACACAAGCAGGGGGAGTGGGAGAGGGAGAAGCAGGCTCCCCGCCGAGCAGGGAGCCCGATGTGGGGCTCGATCCCAGGACCCTGGGATCATGACCTGAGCTGAAGGCAGCCGCTCAATAGACTGAGCCACCCAGGCGCCCTGAAAATTAATAAAATTCTATTAGCTCTTCCTCTGTTGTGTCTCTCAGGTTCACATCCTCACTTTCAAGTGCATCCACTCTGGGCCCAGGCCCTCACTCACTGGTCAGGTGCCCTCAGGCAGGACGAAACATCTCTGAACCTTGTCCGAAAGCTGGTTCACGCCATTTGTAGGGCTTTTTGTCAGGACTAAATGAAAGGCTGCCTGGAGAGCACCTAGAACAGTGCCTGGTACAGGGCAAGCAGTTTATCTCTGCTGCCTGTTATTACTTAGCTCTGACCCCATCTTGTCTTTCTACAGCTGGTGTCACTTCCAAATTCTCCTAAAGCTCTGCTTTCATCACTTCCTTGAACACAAACAATTCTCTTTCCATATTCCACTAGACAGGTAACTCCCCAAGGAAGAAGGCCTTTCTATCCTGTTCGCACTGCCATCTCTCTTCATTTTCCCCTGCTTGCTGAAACAAGAAAACCAGCCGGGATGCTGCCCATCCACATATCTTCCCTGGGAATGCTATGTAAGGCCCCCACTTCCTGCAGGCACCCCCACTTCTACCAGGGGTTCTCCTAGATCAAACCAACTAGTAACATACACAAAATCAACAGGGGAAAAATGGACTTACTTATGAGAAACCTTTACTAGAGTAACTTGTCAGGTTCATTCTGATGAAGGCAGATCATTTTACTGATTCAGGCTCCTTAGGACACTTAGCATTTTGGGGTTATACTTTTTATTTTAATTTATGGGTAGCCTGACAAGTTCAAATAATTATGTTTACCTACTAATATTTATTATATTGTTTAGGCTTTAGATTTGTACCAATGACTTTTGTCTTAAAATTAGTCTCCAGGTGCATAAGCTGTTTACTGCCTCCACTGCTTGACGCCATTTTGTAAACTTGATAAAATGCTGCTTACTCTGTTTTTACGTAGGTAAGCTCTTCATTTTCCCAGTGCACCAGGGCGATTTCGTAGGGCTGGATTTCATGCTTTTCTAAGACTTGCATCACATGCTTCATCTAGAAGAGAAGGAAGAAAACCCAGAATTATACGGACTCTCTCAGTACAGAACTATGGTACACGGTTAACGCTTGTAACATTTTTCATTACATTTGAGGACGTTTCTCTTGATTAGTTTTAAATTAGCAATACTCGTGCCTCGGAGAAACCTCACTGGCTGCGATCCTGTCACTGTGCAAAGCTCCTCTGTTTAGTTTTTAAGGAAAAGGCAAATTCTTTGTGATATTAAACTCACCAGGAGAATATATAGTTTTTATATTTAGAAAACACAGATTAGCATTAGGAAAGTTAATTAAAATTATCCTATTCCACAACCCAAAGAAAACCAACTAGTAACATTATGGTTTGTAGCCTTTAAATCTTTTTAAAAAATATGTAAGTTACAAAAATGTAAAAATTTAAACAATATCAACGAATAAAAGGTGACAACTCTCCGTTCTCCTGAATTCTTTCTTTTTTTTTTTTTTTAAAGATTTTATTTATTTATTTGACAGAGACACAGCAAGAGAGGGAACACAAGCAGGGGGAGTGGGAGAGGGAGAAGCAGGCTTCCCGTTGAGCAGGGAGCCCGATGCGGGGCTCGATCCCAGGACCCTGGGATCATGACCTGAGCCGAAGGCAGACGCTTAACGACTGAGCCACCCAGGCGCCCGAATTCTTTTTTTTTTTAAAGATTTTATTTATTTGAGAGAGAGAGTGCACACGCATGCAAGCACACAAGTGGGGGGAAGGGGTACAGGGAGAGAGAGAAGCAGACTCCCTGCTGAGCACGGATCCTGGGACTCCAGGTTCCTGACCTGAGCAAGGCAGATGCTTAACGAACTGAGCCACCCAGGCGCCCCAAAATACAATCATTTTAGAAGACAGAAGCGCTAGGATAAATATCACATAATACAGAGCAAGTAAGTTGTGGATTATCTGTTAATTTATCTTTTAGTGGCTCAGATTATTGAGTGATAATATTTTTTTCTCAGAAAACTAAATTTTTACACTTTTATACTTTATGTATACTTACAGTTTTGTCTTTCACATTCCAGAACACAGCAGCTCCTTCTCTGATTTAAAAGAATAAAAGAACCAACTAAGTTAATGGGGGAAATATATTCTTTAGGGCTATACATAAAGTCATGCTTAGGTAACTTCTAGAACATATCCAGAAGGCAATTTTTAAAAATGTGATTTATTACTTATTTGCCATTATGGTTCCTAGATGGAGTTGCTAAAACAAGAGCTATTATTGAACCCTTGATAAAACCTGCTCCCCCAAATTCACGATTTCTCACATGGCTTGCAAAGTAAGTATCATCGTAATACTATATAACTTCATGTATCTAGACTGTTTCATACCTGGTTCAATTCTGATGTACAGAATAAGGAAAATTTTGGGACCCGTCTTAGCTCTCATTAGGCAGATTCTGCTATAGGGGGGGAAAAGAATAAAGGATCATGCTTTTAATAGTTGTGGAATACAGAGACAGAGATAAATTAAAGCCAAAGATGGCTAAAAGCACCCATGGAATAAGGCCGCCCATCCTTACAGTGCTTGGAGCAGTACGATGAAGCCAGAGGAGGCCTCTGAATGACATGTTTGACATGTTGAGCTTTTTTTTGGTGGTAAATTAGAAAACAAAACAAAAAAAGAGAGAGAGAGAAGGCTCTGGGTTATTGCACTGGAGGAAGGAAAGGTAAAAATTCGGTGGTCCCCATCATTCAAACCTTTCTTAAGCACGGTGCTTATTAGCATATGTGTGGGTCAGCACTTTGCATCGGATACAAAGATGAGTATGGCCTAGTTCCTCTCCTGGAGGAACTCCTGATTTAGAAAAGACTGACAGACAGACCTCCAATTGCGGGTAGAGTGGTGAGTGCCTGGAGAGTTACGCAGAATGTCTTCCAGGATGTCCGCGGGAGGCCCCGTTCCCATGTAGGGCTAAGCCAAAGGAGAAAACGGGAGGTGGCAACAGGGCAGAGGGAATGCCCTGGGCTCAGGGAGAAGGTGTGAGGGAGCAGGGCTGCGTCTCGGAGTAGACAGCTGGTCGTCTGCAAGGCTGGGGATGTGAGCAAGCAGTAGGCGATGAGGCCAGGGAGGCAGGGACAAGGAGTTTGGTCAAGTTCCACGGAATTCTAAGCAGGAGAGTGTAGGGATCAGAAGCGCCCACCGAACACTGCTCCTGTCTGGCAGCGGGGGAGAAGAGAGGCAGGGGGGACCAGGCAGCCAGCTGTGGCAACCCACCCATGTAGGGTCTAGGAGGTGGACGGGATTAGTATCTAGGGCCACAGCAAGAGGAGTATTCCTTCAGAGTATCACTTGTGGGCAGATGAGAGGTCTTGGGATCATGCCCCTCTGCCTTCAGGAAGCTAGGCTGTGCTGCGTGGCACTCGGAGGCCATGTGGGCTACGGAGCCCCTGAAATGTGCCTAGTCCACGCCGAGGAAGGCTGGCAACGGAAACCACGCGGGGAGTTTCAAAGACTCAGTGTGAAAAGAACAGTGGAAAAATCTAATGAATTACTGACTGATTGAATGTTGAAATGAAAGCATTGTGGATATGTTGGGTTAAATAAAACACATTATTAAAATTCATTTCAGGCGACATATATTATTATTGGTGTTTAAAATTAAACCTTTTTTTTTAACTTTTAAAAATGTGGCTACTAGAATATGTATTATTACATATGAGGCATGCACTGTATTTCTACTGGATGGTGTTCATCTAAAGGCCCTCGGAAATCCAAATTCCTCAAATCCAAAGAGGGCACTATTCTACTTGGGCCACATGTTGAACTCTTGATTATCTCCAAAGTTATGTTAAAAGGAAGGTAAGGCATTGACAGGAACCAAGCTGGAGCTCAGTTATCATCAACCATAAGCACTGTTATCACAAAGATTTTATCAAAGTTTGGGTTCTTACAGACACTCCATGTGTTTCTGTTGTCATAGAACAATCCCACAACTGGGGGCAATTCCCTTAATCTCTCTCACCTGAGTTTCCCCAGCTGCAAAATGGGAATAATAGGGCTCCTCAAGAGCTGTGAGGACAAGATGAAATTATTTTAAGTGGTTTCTATTATTATAGCCATTCTCACTCAGCTACTCGGGAGTATTTGGTGTTAAAACAACCTTTAACGAAAAGGAGTAAGTATATGTGACTCAGGGTTCCAGTCTGCTGTCTCTGGAGAGGTAAGGTGGTCTAAAACTAAAGCAAAAGAGTTGCAGAAGGAGAAAAAAAGGAAGAAAAGACAGCAGGGTGGTAGCATGAGTCTGGTAGGGAGCCCTGAAGGTGAATGGAAAGTAGGATGCTTTACATACTCTGAGGAAACAAAAATCCAGATTTATAAATAAAGGCAAGCCATGGAAAAATTGTTTTAAAAATTATTTGTTTTATCAGGATTTACCAGAAAATTCCTAAAACTAACAAAGTCTCCTAGATCAAATAAGAATCAAAGGAGAAATTTAAGGGCACCTGGGTGGCTCAGTTGGTTGAGCGACTGCCTTCGGCTCAGGTCATGATCCCGGAATCCCGGGATCGAGTCCCGCATCGGGCTCCCTGCTCAGCGAGGAGCCTGCTTCTCCTCTGACCCTCCCCCCTCTCATCTCTCTCTCTCTCTCATTCTTGCTCTCTCAAATAAATAAATCTTTAAAAAAAAAAAGAATCAAAGGAGAAATTTAA